GGGGGGGGGGGGGGGATTCGGCAGTCCTCTTGAGATTTTAAAAAATCTGGTCCAAGTGGCAACATGGCTACCTTGCCGAAAACTAGTCTGAGGTTGACGATCCCTGCTCCGGAATTCGACTCGTTTCATATTTACGCGAGCGACCCGAACGGGGGGACCAAACCGCGCATCGAACGCGATCAAGGAGGCACGGGGGGAGAGAGAGAGCGAATCTCGCGTTGGCCATCTTCTCACCTGTTGACGATAAAATTTTTTCGATAGGGAGATTGGGGGGGAATAAATGGGCCCGGTCCGTTCGGAATCGACGATTTTTATACGCATCGGGAGAAATGACGCGTTTGGAAGATGTACAACACTTTATTTTACATTCTCAAACAGCATTTTTGGTGAAAATTGATAAACTCGTTTTTTTGTTTACACGAATATGCTTCGATTAGAGGAAATAAATGATTTATGCGTGTTAAAGGCATCTTCTATGGGAATTAATTGAACGTTTGTTTTATTCAGATGTTTCCATTCAATTTATTGAGATGATTGTGAGGAATTAGCTTGTCACGATATTGAATAAAAATATTGTGACATAAGGAATGAAGTTATTATCATGTAATAAGTCTTTATTTGGTCCATATAAAGCATTATTACGTGTTAATAGATTCGTGTCCTTCGCTGTCTCAACATTCATTTGATTTTTAATTAATAAAGACTTTATTAGAGTCAAGGAAATGTTTGTTCATCTTTAAAGAACGAGTTATTTAATGTGAAATCAAGTTTAAGACTGAGTAAAAGCTTTACTGCGAACGATTTTATTCGAATAAAGTTTATTCAATTCAAATAAATCGTTTGGCTGGATCGAACGACGACTTCGTAGGCGGGAATTGAAAAAGTTCTATTTTTCAGGGAAGTATCACTTGTTTTCAGGGAATTTTCCTCGATTTTAGAATTTTCCTCTTTACATTTGAGGAGAAAAATTCGTTATTCCAAGAGATTTTCGACTGAACGTTAATTATTAGTGAACACAAGTTCTCCGAACACTAAAATTTTTTTTGCTTCTGTGGTTGTTGAATTTTCTTTTTAATTCCAAGCATCATTTTCTTATTGCCAGCTCAAATCAGCAATAGCTCCCGATGGAATGTATTAACTTTCATTTTGAAATGTCTAAAAAGAAAAAAATCTTTCAATTTAACTCCACCATTTATTCAATTCAAATAAATCCTTTCTCTCGATTAAATGACCAATTTGTGGACGGAAATTGGAAAAGTTTTATAATTCTGATAACTATCAAATTTTGTTTAAAGAATTTCGCTCAATTTTCAAAAAAAAATTTTCTCTCTACATTTCAGGAGAAAAATTATCTCTTTTTATCCCCAGAGATTTTCGCCTGAATTTTAATCATTTGTCAAAATAAGTGATAATTCTCCGAACACTAAAACTTTTTTCTGTGTTTCATGAATTTTCTGTTCAATTCTAAGTATTATTTCATCAAAATCTCCGAATTCAATGAATCAACTCCAATATTGAAATATCGAAAGTAAAAAACGCTTCATTTCACCCGTCCCCCTATTTCCCTCTTGTAAACACCATTATCATATTACAACGTATGTTCTCCCCTAGACCCTCCAGGGCACACGCATAACAAAGACAATACGACAATGACGAGCGAGAAACCAGAATGTTAAAAAATTCAAATTTAGAAATTTCATTTTCACTCTGCGGAGTAAACACGTATACTTTAAACTTTTGAAATGTTTGGGGTAGAGTGGCATAATAAAAATAATAAATGTGGGTGGTTGAACATGGAAAGCGGGAGATTGACGCTGGGAGATCTATGAATGGGCCAGCCTACGCGTGTGTGCCACCCATCGCTCAATAAAAATGTTCTATCCTCCTTCTCCCCGCCGTGCAATATTTCTCAGATGGGTATAACGCTTTTACAACGTGGTTATTACCCGTGGCACGTGGGTGTTAAAACCGTTCGCTCCAAGCGAAACACTACTCCATACCCAATATGGATATAAGCTTAATAGTAATAACCATCAAAGCAATCTGACAGTGGGGTTTGCGTTGTGTACAATTAAGTGAGTGAAAAAAAAAATCAGATGGTAAATTTTATAACGGAGGTTCATTGCAACGGGGAAAAGAAAAATATTTGCGGAATGCCAATGTCTATTTCTACATCCATGAACTGGCAAAGTGTCCTCTTGTCTCTCTTCACTTCGTCTCTGGTCGCGGACTAAAGTTAAATTCCATTTGGCGCGCGGTGATTTGACATGAATTCACGTAACGCAAACTCATTTAACCGTTTCGCCTCATTTAATTTGACTCTGGGGTGCTCTTTTTTTTACAGAATGTGTCAAGATGGTACGAATATCGGTGACCCTGTCCAGCGCCTTGACGCTCATCTTCCTTGTTTTAGACGGTTCGAATGCCTCAGGTAATGATATGAACACATTAATTCATTAATTAAATGTGGATGAAGAACTGGAAATTAACCGGGAGGAGTCGAGCCTGTTATTTCGCAAATATCTGGGTCGCTACCGGGTTTTAATTCCAAAGGTATCAACGAACAACTGGAGATGGATAAAAAAATTAAAACCTCGCATTACAGATGAACTTGTGAGGAAAGAGAGTCGAAGAACAAAAAATTGATTTCATTATTTTGCAGATATCTGGAAAACTGCTAGGTTTAGGGGAAAATGTCAGAGAAACTTTTTTGTAGTCCACGAAATTCTCTACAAAAAATGTCCTATGCCAAATTCTCTTAAACCGCGTCCTCTTGACGTTAATCGCAAAACAATTCCAGTGAATGAAAGAAATTTCTGAAGAACGTCAGATGAATAAAAATCCATTTCATGATTCTCCAAGTCTCAGTTCTCCACGGACCTGTCCTTACAAATTTGTCTGAACCCTCCAAAATCGACAAGGAAAACCGCAGAGTCATTCTCCCCCAATTAATCACGTCATCCCGAACAGGTCCGCGCCAAGAGCTTGGGATGCAGTTCACGCGTCACCCTCAGCCCCTAGTAACGCCCCTCGGTGATGAAGTGGTCTTTGAGTGCAGCCTGAGCCTCCCAGCGGAGAAATTCACCTGGCGTCATCGTCCCCTGAACTCAAACCGCTGGTTACCCCTGCCAAATCCCAATGCCAACCCGGGTGTCAGGAAGACTTCCAAGCTGGTTGTCAACTTCGATGACCCCTCGAAAGCCGGTGACTACAGATGCATCGCATATTACGGTCAGTTGATTCCCCTCCCTTCACTTATATTAAGAAAAAAAAAACGACCTGACATCACATTATGATTCCTGCAGCTAGGAAAATAGCATATGTATTGATTGGATTAATTCATCATGAATTTGAGACGAGCAATTGATGGAAAATGAATCGTCTTTTTCGAAAGAGATAACGACAATATCCTGGAGATGACGAAGAAAGTCAGAAATAAGGAGATGACGTTCGGTCAGTGGTGTTTAAAAAATTTCTGCACTGTCAGAAATTTTTTGCAATTGATATTAATAGCTGCTTTTAATTCTTCAATGCTAATAATTTGAATTCAATTTAAGATTGAATCACTCACGAAATTGTTTTTTTTCTTTTTCTCGATTTTTCTCTTAAAATTTCAGGAGTAATTTTCGAACAGTGTAATAATACAATTGAATGTTATTGGAAAAATTTTGTGAACTTGAATTCAATTTAAAATGAACTCTTTCATGAAATTTCTCATTACTTTTGCGCATTTTCCCGTTTTTGAATGCTTCTATGAAATTTAAATTTTCATTCTAAGCGATCATTGATATTTCAATCACAGTTTGAATTATCAAACTCATTCAGAAAATAGAACATGACATTCAATTGAATTTTCAATAGATTTTGAATAGTTCCCTGGATTTTCCTAATTTTCAAAGTTTTTTTTCATCGTCATATGACCCTGAAAATTGCAATTTTATGAAATATTCCCAGAATTAAGTGATTTATATTTTTTATTAAATTAATCCTAACCAGAATTTTTTATTAAATTAATCCCAGCCAGAAATTTGCTATTTTTTTACGTGAAATTTCAGGACTAATTTTCCAAGAGTGTTTAGGTTTTTCTTACCAAGAATTCTGTATTCATGATAAGGAAAATCATAAGTCCGTGATTCCCGATTCACTGGATTCCCACTTTTAGACATGTTCTCCTTTCCAGATACAAAAACAAACTATTTCTTAAGCCAAGAAAGTCCCGCATTATCGCGAAGTATTCGTGTTCCAGTCATTCCAAGCAATATCTGCTCAAAAGATAACATCCACTGATAGAAGGATTTAGCAGCTGTTAACGAGGCTTCTTAACTATTAACTGAAGGCGCGAGTTTATATAGCGTTCCACATCTTGGACGACGTCACAGGATATTGTTGGATAAGATTTTGGCGTAGCTAGGATGAACCAGAATGATTCTCGGTATTACTTTACAAGAAAAAAACTATTGGAAACATCGACACTTCAGACGGAAATTTGAACTTTCGAAAGAAGCTTCGTTAACACCACCCGAATCCACCCGAATCCTTCCATATTTTCAATCAGTGTACCCTGAAAAAAAAAATGGCCGCGACTATTCGCACCATTGCGTGAATCACTCCCGTACACTCCATACCTCCACGCATGCGTGAAGTTTGTGTGTTTCACGCAGCCGAATTTTCATACTGCTGTGTATTTCACGCAGTTGAAGTTTCATACTACTGTGTGTTTCACGCAGTTGAAGTTTCATACTCCTGTGTGTTTCACGCAGTTGTATTTTTATACA